TCTCCACTGGCGGGGGGCCTTGGCTCATGGTGCCTGGGCTCGGGGGCACCTCCTGGTCACAGGCCCCCGCCACCCACCGCTGCTTCCTCCACTGCCGTCTCCAGCCGTAGCCGCAGCCGCCACCGCCGCCGGCCCTGCTCGGCCGCCATCGCTGTGAGGCGGCTGCCTGAGATGGCTCCTCCTCCGCCTGTCAAATCTCGCGATAGCTGCCGCAAAACTGCGGATCAGTGACCGCTCCACCAAATCTCGCGAAAAATTGTTTTCTCTCCGGGAAGTTCCTCGGACTTACTCTGGGCAGCATGGCTTCTGCTGGGCCACTCTAAAGTCCTTGAGGGACACTTTATTGTCGAAGATGTCAGAGAAAGCGGGCGTACTACAGCAGACTTAACGTCCTACCACTTAGGGAGCCTAAGCAGCCTGCGGCAAGTTCCCAGCCCGGTTACCTAGGGAGACCCTGTTTCAAAAAATAGATAAATTTTTTTTTTTTTTTTTTGGTTTTTCGAGACAGGGTTTCTCTGTGGTTTTGGAGCCTGTCCTGGAACTAGCTCTTGTAGACCAGGCTGGTCTCGAACTCACAGAGATCCGCCTGCCTCTGCCTCCCGAGTGCTGGGATTAAAGGCGTGCGCCACCACGCTGATAAATTTTTTAAAAAGAGCCACTTGGCGAGGTGACTCAGCGGATAAAGGCGCTTGCGGCCAACCTGAGCTCGACCCCTGGAACCCACGTGGTGGAAGGTGAATCCACTCGGGCAAGCGAACTCCAGGGCATGCCCCACCCCTTGATAAAATGAGATTTTTTTTTTAAATTAGTTTCAAGGGAAGAAAAAAAAGAGAATGGAGTGCTCAGCTCTAAATGGGACAACTGGAGGCCGGAGAAGTGAGTGATTCATAGGACCCAGTCATGACAAGCTGGGTAGGCCTGAGTCTCAATAGTTTACTGGTTTTTTTTAATATTTATTTATTATGTATACAATATTATGTCTGTGTGTATGTCTGCAGGCCAGAAGAGGGCACCAGACCCCATTACAGATGGTTGTGAGCCACCATGTGGTTGCTGGGAATTGAACTCAGGACCTTTGGAAGAGCAGGCAATGCTCTTAACCTCTGAGACATCTCTCCAGCCCCTCAATAGTTTACAAACCTAAGGCAATACCTGCTTCTGAGAAACACCACAAACTGAGACCACCTAGGAACAGATCATTCAAAGGAAATTCCTAACGTTCCAACTCTTGTAGATAGCATCACCTGCCAGCACACACCCATAGCTTTCACCAGAACACCCTAGACAAAAGTCAGTCAATTGGGGTCCTGAACCTTAAAAATCCCTCCCCCTCACCTGTGACCAACCCTAACTGAGCTGGGGCTCTCCCATCACTCCAGTATGTTGGATGCCACGGACCGGCTCAGGGGAGCCACTCAGACCGTGGGAGAAGCAGGGTCTTGGTAACAGGAAGGCACAAGTTCGGCGAATGACAGACAGACACAACACACAAGAGAGTGGTTGGAATCTGCTGCGATTTTACTGAATCCATGTTTTCATTATATAGTATTCAAACAAAGAACAAATCAGAAGGTCATGTATCATCAGTCGACACAGTATGAAAGCTTCTTTTAGTCACATCAGCAATGTTTAAGAAAAGTGTATTATCAGGAACAGGTGTTAGATATAAAGCATCCTTAGAAGAGGAAATCTTGTCCTTGGGAATGAAAAACCTCAGGCAAGTGGTTTCATCTTATGAATAGAAAGTTTCTGTCTCATTATCGCTATCATGGCCCTTCCTCTTCCTAACCCTTTATTTCATCTAGTGACCAAATATGCCTAATCAGTTCTCTGCACCTGTTGAACTATACTTTTTAGTACCTTCTTATGCAGCAGACATCATGGGGGTTGGGATCTAGTAAGCCTATCCATAAAGTTGAAAGTATAATATAAGTCTTTGTCCATCAGCATTAACCCATCTATTCCTTTGCTCATCATACACCCTGTGTATGACAAAGGTTCTGCCGTGTCTTATACATTCCCATTCTGTGTTTCCTTATCCCAGAGCTGTTTCTGAAGAGAACGATCCTTGTCTTGTATATATATAGAATATCGTTATTATAAAAGAGATTGTGCAAAGCTCATATCCCGCATAGCCAGCTAATCGAGAAACCCGTCTATGCCTCAGCTGTGGCTAATACCAGGCTGTCTGCCATTGACCTCTAGGAAGCCTAGTCCCATGGGACACGTAGTTCCCATCCGGCATAATGACATATGTCATGTCACACAGACGACACTGGAGTTGGTGTGGCAGTGGGACACAAAAGAGAGTCCGAGTTTGCAAACTTGTGTAAGAATAAAGGCTCTTTGCTTTTACATACAGGACTCAGTCTCCTAGTTGGTTTTGGGGGATTCTGTGATCTGGGCCTAACAGGCTCAGTGGTTAAGAGCACTAGCTGCTCTTCCAGAGAATCCGCATCCAATTCTCAGCACCCACATGAGCTCACACCTTTTGTAACTCCAGTTCCAGGGAATCCGACACCCTCACGCAGACAGACATACATGCAGGCAAAACACCAATGCACGTCAAATAAAAACTAATTAGGGGCTGGAGAGATGGCTCAGCGGTTAAGAGCATTGCCTGCTCTTCCAAAGGTCCTGAGTTCAATTCCCAGCAACCACATGGTGGCTCACAACCATCTGTAATGAGGTCTGGTGCTTTCTTCTGGCCTGCAGGCATACAGACAGACAGAACATTGCATACATAATAAAAATAATAAATAAATATATAAAAAACTAATTAGTTAGGACAGCTACCCCCAGACACAGAAATGATGGAGGAAGAGGAGCAGTGAAAAGGTTTTAAGAGCCTGAGGTAGCAGAACTCTGCATCTAGACGGTATTTTCCAGACACGACAGAATGGTTGCACACAGGAACTTAACACCCATGACTGCATGGAGTCCAGGCATGGCTGTGGGGAGGAGCAATAGAAGTTGGTGGCTGCTGGGGGAGGAACAGTGGCTACCAGAGACACTAGATTCAGGTATTCTATGTGTACATGTGTGATGGCATGTGTTCCACCATGGCACACCTGTGCTTGACAGAGAACTTGGGGAAGTCCCTTTCTCCTTCCACAGTGTAGTTCCTAGAGATCGAATTCAGATAATCAGACTTGGCAGTAAGTACCCTTACCTAGTGAGCCATTTTGTCAGTCCTAACCATAAACCTAAGCTAAGGTGTCTGGGGTCCTGTATGTGTATATACTGCTATGCTTCTGGCTCCGGGCCCGCAAGCCTTCCTTTTGTTTCTGAAACAGCCTGAAGTCTTTTCCATCTGCTGGGCTTTGGCTTGCCATTCCTCTACAAGGATCAGTCAGAAACCTGAACGACCACTGGGTTTCAACTTTTGAAGATTTCTTATGTATAGTGTTCTGGAATGCATGCCTACACGCTAGAAGAGGCACCAGCACCAGATCTCAGTACAGATGGTTGTGAGCCACCATGTGGTTGCTGGGAAATTAACTCAGGACCTCTGGAAGAACAGCCAGTGCTCCTAACCTCTAAGCCATCTCTCCAACCCCTAAATGTCACTTTAAAGAAGCTTTCCCTACTAAAATTCTCTCACTGATTCAGTGTGATTTTGTGTTGTGTTTCTCTGTAGCTTTGGAGCCTGTCCTGGAACTTTCTCCGTAGACCAGGCTGGCCTTGAACTCAGGGATCCTCCTGCGTCTGCGTCCCAGTGTTGGGATTAAAGGTGTGTGCAACCTTCACCCAGCTGAATAGCGCTTTTTTTTTTGTTTTGTTTGTTTTTTTTTTTTTTTTTGTTTTTTGAGACAGGGTTTCTCTGTGGCTTTGGAGCCTGTCCTGGCACTAGCTCTGTAGACCAGGCTGGTCTCGAACTCACAGAGATCCGCCTGCCTCTGCCTCCCGAGTGCTGGGATTACAGGTGTGCGCCACCATCGCCCGGCTGAATAGCGCATTATTAATAACAGATACTCAATAAACATTTACAGAATGAACAAATTTGCAAATGTCATCTTTTTCCCAACTTCCTCTAAGTACCCTTTGGCATACAAACCCATGTTTTCCCTGATGCTTTCCTGACCTGGAAGATCTTACACATCCAGAAGATCTAACATCCACGCCTCAGTGTCCAGCTGCACCTTACTTTGAAATAGGATGCCCTCCTCCTGTAGAGCTCTGTCAGCTGGCAGGTTCTGTAGGGCAGGGCCTGTGCCTTTAATCTGAGCCCCACCTGCTCTGGTCAGACAGGTTTGGAGACACAGGTAAGGGGAGGGAGACTGGGAAATACTTGCAGAGCCAGGTAGGAGCCAGGCAGTTCCTTTCTGGGGATCCTCGTCTCTCCCTCTCCGTGGATGGAAAGTAAGAGGGTATCTTGGGTCCAAAGGGCAGGGGTAGGAGGGGCCCTAGAGGTGAAAGAGGAAAAAGAGCCCAGACCAGAAACAGTGAACTGGAGAGTGGCAGGGAGGAAAGAAAGACAAGGGAACAGCCGCACTAGAGCTGGAAGTCTGAGTGGGGCCCAGCCCGGTGGAATTGGGTGAGACTGGCAAGGGTGGGGGAGTTCAGAAAATGACTGGTTTCCGGACTGGGGACTAAGGAACTGAGTATCTGGCCACTGGTATCAGCTGCTAACAGAGTTCCAGGCCGAGATCTGCAGGGCAAAGGGCAAGTGGAAGGGTGAAGGGGCAGTTTCTCCATAGAATGATTCTCAGTTGTAAAGAAGTTCCTCCCGTTCCCAAGCTAGGGTGGCCATGAATCCGGGGGTTTTGGTGGAGAGCGTAGAAGGTAGGTGTAGGCGTAGGCTGAGGTCACAGCTGCCAGGGCTTGTGCCCCCTGACTCACCCTTAGCCCTGCTGCTGCCACCGCCCTCTGTCTCAACACCTTCCTCCGCACTGTGTTCTCCCTAGAGTCCCACGAGGCCGGCTGCCCTGGTGCGATCCAGTTTGAGGAACTGTCCTTGGGCCAGAAGACAAGGTATTTTCACAGAACTTACCCCACTCCCTTTAGGATGATATCACCTTGGGGTAGACCTCAGAACTGAAGCCTCACGATGACAGAACCGGAGACACTGGCCCTGCTGGAAATGAAGGCACCTGAGGCTCCAGAGAAGAGCTTACCACGGGCTTTAGCCCCCACTGACCGGCAGCTGGAGGGAGAAGATGGGACTGAGTCCCCTGGAGCTGAGTCTCTCAGACTGGGGTCTTCAGTTGGTTCCCCTACAGTCAGAGAGGGGCCCGAGGATGGTCCAGACAGCACTATCAGTGAAGCTGCGACTTTGCCTTGGGGAACTGACCCCCAGTACAGCGTCCCGCTTCCGGATCCCCCAGGCTGGCGAGATATTGAACCAGAGCCCTTAGAGTTGGAACCACTCACTAAGTCGGAGGAACCGCTCACTAAGCCGGAGGAACCGCTCAAAGATGATGCCAGTTTGCTTCCTGAGAAGTCAGTTAGGGCCTTCGTGCCCATTGATTTACAGTGCATTGAGCGGAGGCCGCAGGAGGAGTGCATTGTGCAACGTAAGGCCGGACAGGCTGAGCGTAGGAATTTCCTGCCAACCCGACTCAGCCACCATGAGCTTCCAGAGCGCAAGTGGGCTGAGGCAGTTGTGAGACCCCCTGGCCGGTCTTGTGGGGGCTGCGGGAGCTGTGGAGGCCGCGAGGCGCTGAGGGCTGTAGCCTCGGTGGCTGCTGCTCTCATCTTCTTCCCCTGCCTGCTGTATGGAGCTTACGCCTTCCTGCCCTTCGACGCTCCAAGGCTGCCCACCATGAGTTCCCGCTTGATCTACACCCTACGCTGTGGGGTCTTTGCCACCTTCCCTATCGTACTAGGTGAGTCTGGGCGGTGGAGAAGGGTTACCTGGGAAGAGAACTACAGAGACTTGGTTGGGGTACTTTCTCTTCATTCTGTTGGAACCGTTCAGGGCACCCCAAACCTGCCCTCTGCTCCTTCTCTTCCAGAGAGTGTTTGTGATATCTCTGCAGTCTTGACCCAGGAGCTGGCCTGCCGTTTTCTGACCCCCGTGCTTCCTCCCCTGCAGGGCTCCTAGTGTACGGCCTGAGCCTGCTGTGCTTCTCCGCCCTCCGGCCCTTTGGAGAGCCGCGGCGGGAAGTAGAGATCCACCGGCAGTACGTGGCCCAGTCCGTGCAGCTCTTCATCCTCTACTTCTTTAACCTGGCCGTCCTTTCCACCTATCTGCCCCAGGACACCCTCAAGCTGCTGCCTCTGCTCACTGGTCTGTTTGCAGTATCTCGGTGAGTCGGGGCTGTGGTGGCCATGGTTGGGGAGGCGTGAAGAAGTAAAAGTGCCAGAACCTCCAGGGGCTGAAGGTCTGGAGGACAGAAGCCTGAGGATTTCTGTGCGCACACCTGTCTCTCCCGCGCGCTTCACTGGGAAGCAGGCGCTCAGCTCCCTTCTCCTTCAGAAGCTGCTCTCAGAGGTGTGCCAATAGGGAGCTTCTGAATGCTGTTTACTTTGGTACAGAGACTCATCTAAGCACAGGACTGACCACCCTACTCCTAACCTCAGGTGGAATTTAGTGCGTCCCCTGAAGGTACTCCTCTAGTCTGTGACACTCTAGTCAAATAGCTTTAAAAATTGGCTATGTGCGACATTTTCTGCTTTATTTTGATTGAGGCAGTCACCATCTCACCATGCAGCCTGAACATAAACTCTTGGTGGTAATCCTCCTGTCTCACCCTCTCCAGTGCTGGGATCACCACCACACCCCCCTTCCAGGTTTAAGCATTCTAATTGCTAGAAAGTTCTCTTTTTGTTCTTTGTTTCCTTTTTCTCTTCCTTCTTTCCTTCCTTCCTCTCTCTTTTTCTGAGACAGGGTATTTCTATGTAACAGCCCTCGCTGTCCTAGTCCAGGCTGGCCTCGAACTCACAGAGATCCACCCGCCTCTACCTTTCGAGTGCTGAGATTAAAGGCTGCAGCACCACTGCCCCATAAAAGTTCTTTCTTACGCAGTGCTGAAAACTGCCCTAAAGCTGATGTAGTAGCTCACTCGGGTCTGCAATCACAGTACTTAGGGGGCTGAGACAAGAGTTCAAGTCAACCTGAATTGCATAGTGAGTTCTGGGTCAACCAGTACAACACAGCTACGACCTTGTCTCAAAAAACAAAGTGAGCAGGCCAGCCTGGGGTACAGAGTGAGTGCCAGAACAGCCAAGGTCTACACAGAGAAACCCTGCCTTGAAAAATAAAATAAAATGAAATAAAGAAACAAATAAATAGACTGTCCTGACCCCGACCTTCATGGTTCAGCCGTGGACAACACAGATGAGCTACTGCACTCGAGCAGCCTCCTCGTCTAGTGGTTAAAGGCTGGGACCCTTGGCTCCCACTCCAGCGGGCAGGACGTCTGCCTGGCGGTGAGCAGCACTTTCTACCCAGAGGCCAGGTCACCCTCACGGCCGCACCACTTTTCTTTCATTCAATTTGAGTCATCAGCGAATTTTATTTATTTATTTATTTATTTATTTATTTATTTATTTATTTTTGGATTTTCGAGACAGGGTTTCTCCGCAGCTTTTTGGTTCCTGTCCTAGAACTAGCTCTTGTAGACCAGGCTGGCCTCGAACTCACAAAGATCCGCCTGCCTCTGCCTCCTGAGTGCTGGGATTAAAGGCATGCGCCACCACTGCCCAGCCTAAATTTTATTTTATTGAGACAGGATCTCAAAATGTAGCCCACACTGGCCTGAAAATCTGTAAATCACATAAACGAACATTTAATTGTAATTTAACTAAAAATGAAATTAATTTGACTCACTTTAATTTTATTTGTTTTTTGTTTTTTGGGTTTTTCGAGACAGGGTTTCTCTGTGGTTTTGGAGCCTGTCCTGGAACTAGCTCTTGTAGACCAGGCTGCCCTCGAACTCACAGAGATCCGCCTGCCTCTGCCTCCGAGTGCTGGGATTAAAGGCGTGCGCCACCACTGCCCGGCCTCACTTTAATTTTAAATAGTAAATAAAAGAGAAGACAGGGAATAATATTTTCACTTCAGAGATGTGGGAAAGTAAACATTGTATGTTCAATACATATAAACCGGATGTTTGTAATAGTACCAGTCTTGGCACCCGCTCCCAATTGGTCTCCCGCTCCTGACCGATTAGCTGGCTGGGCCCTGGAGAGTCAATAACCTTTGTCATGCTCCCGCTCCCACAGGCTGATTTACTGGCTGACCTTTGCTGTCGGCCGCTCCTTCCGAGGCTTTGGCTACGGGCTGACTTTCCTGCCGCTGTTGGCCATGCTGATGTGGAACCTCTACTACATGTTCATGGTGGAGCCGGAGCGCATGCTCACCGCCTCCGAGAGCCGCTTGGACTATCCGGACCACGTTCGATCCCTCTCCGACTACAGGCCACGCTCATGGGGCTGAGCTGCCCTAGGGCTGTGCAGGGGTCTTTCAGCACCTCCCTGAAACAGTTGCAGGCCTGGCCTTTGCCCAGGTCATAGACCTTAGATGGGAGGTACCTTGCTACTTAGGGGCCCCATCCAAAGGAGCCCAGACACCCCAGTTCTCTTCTAGTTGTGCTGTACCCCTGGAGTGCGAGAGCCTAAGGCAGAGACTGGAGAAGTATACTCCTTTTTGGGCAGCCCTCCACCGTGCCAAGCCAAGGCTAAGTAAGGTCCCAGCTTCCTGTGGACCAGAGGTGTAGAACCACAGGCCAACCTGAACTGTCTGCCTAAGCCCAAGCGTAGAGATTGGTTCTCATCAGATAAGGACTTCGCCATCTTTGACATGAGGTGAAAGCCTTCCTAAGGGGCCTGGCTTCAAGACTCTTGTCTTGGTCAAGCTGTGACCTTCCCCCTCCCAGCCTACGTGGGTTCCTATAACCTTCCACTTTGCAAACTTCCAAGAAGTACTAAGGTTTTAAAAAAAGGTGTGTGTGGGGGATTTGGGGTGGCAGAGAGATGAAACCTCCAAAAGAACTGTGGATGGATTCCCATGTAGTGGCTGGGATGGCAATGACTGCTTGTCCAGTATGTATGTAATAAATCATGGCCTGCTTCCACGGCTCCTTCTTCCTGCTAATCTTCCCCACCCCCAGGACGTAAGTCACCTCCTGGCATCAAGACCAAGGGGTGGAGGCGCTTCACAGGAGGCTTGGGGAGAGAAAATGTACCCTCGAATAGAAAGTGCCCATTGCCTTGGAAGTCTGTCTCTCAATCTTCCCATTGCTGGACCCAGCCTGGCATGGTGGCACAGGCCTTTAATCTTGGCGCTTGGGAGGTAAAGGCCAGGGGATCTCTGAGTTTAAGGCCAGCCTGGCCTACAGAGTGAGTTCCAGGACAGCCAGGGCTACACAGAGAAACCCCGTCTCAAAAAGAGAGAAAGAGATCGGAATCTGGACTGGAGACATGGATGGCTCCATGGTTAGGAGCACTTGTTCTAGCAAAGGACCCTGGTTCAATCCTGGTTCAATCCCCATTACCTGTATGGTGGTTTACAACCATCTGTAACTCCAGTTCCAGGGGATCTAGTGCCCTCTTTTGACCTCCACAGGCAATTCTCTCTCTCTGTCTCTCGTGCACGCACATACAAATGCAGTGCACATCCACACAAGCAGGCAAAATATTCACACATATAAAATACATAAATCTCAACCCTGTCTCGAAAAACCAAAAAAAAAAAAAACCATAAATCTCATTTAAAAATAAGAAAGAAGTTGAAATCTTTTTTGGGAAAAAAATGTCTATTTCATGCACCTTAGGGCAGCCAACCAGTCGCTCACTGTAGGCCTTCAAGTCTTACCCAAGGGAAAGGAGAGTGGTAAATGACAGAGAAGGAACATCAAGGGGGCCCTTCCTTTTCCCAGTAATTCTAGCCTCTCCCAGGGAGCCCCAGTAAGCTGAGGCTGGCTTTTGAGGTTCTGCAGAAAAGCAAATGACAACACTGCCCCTCTCCCCTCCAAGGTGTGAGGCACAGCAAGGCATGTGGTCCTGCCCCTCCATCTGCAGTTCAGTTGATGGACTGGTACTCAGAATACGGCTTGTGTCGCAGCAGCAGAAACAGGCCTCCCCCCAGCAACAGGAGCCCTGGAGTTCCCAGGGCCACTGCCATGATTCCGAGGACGAGTGGAGATAAGGAGTCCACTGGAGGGACACCCACTCCCAGAAGCATTGACCTAGAGCAAGAAGGTTTTAAAAAAGGAGGTAAGCAAGCTTAGGAAGGAAAGCTGAGGGGCTCAGCCCTTCTCCACATTGACCTCCCCAAATCCTTGGTTCTTACCAGGAGAGGTAGTGTTCGTCCCAGTAGCCAGGGCCTGTGGGAGCCCCAAATGTCAGAGTGAAGGCATAGAAGTTTTTCTGGGACCCAAAGAAGGCTTGGACAACAGGTGAGCGAGGGAGCGAATGTGCCAAGGTGTAGTTAAGGGAGGACACCTGGCAGGGGAGGGCTGATTCTCGCCCCCGCTGCTTCTGAGAGAAAGCCACTGGTCGCCATTGCATGAAGCCAGATGGTGAAGAGTCCCACAACAATTGGTCCAGCTGGAGAGAAAGGCCACGGAGGCAGAGAGATGGACGCACCTGTGCCAGCTTTCTGTTCCTGCCTCTCCCAGATTACTGCAATGAGGCCAGCAAGCGTCCCCGGTGCTAAGTGTCATTCTAGGATGGGCATTGCCGGTTGTGGCAGGGCCCAGTCCTCTCTACATATAGTAGAGAGATGAGCAGAGTCACAGCCTTGCTCTTCTGCCATTGCTCCCTCTGGGCCCCGGGTCACAGAGAATCCCATCTGAAGACCATAAAGCACTGCTTTTGCCTGCTTCCTTGGAGGGCAGAGATGTCAGGTGATACATCAGTACAGCCCAACACTAGAAGCATCCAGACAGAGTATTGCTAATAAACGGGGACCATATGTGGTGGTGCGTGCATTTAATCCCAGCTCTCAGGAGGTAGAAGCAGTTGAACCTCTGTAAGTTCAAGGCCAGCCTGGTCTAGATAGCAAGAGTTCTAGGTCAATCAGAACTATATAGGGAGGGGCTGGAGAGATGGCTCAGTGGTTAAGAGCATTGCCTACCCTTCCAAAGGCCCTGAGTTCAATTCCCAGCAACCACACGGTGGCTCACAACCATCTGTAATGAGGTCTGGTGCCCTCTTCTGGCCTGCAGACATACGCACAGAGAGAATATTGTATACGTAATAAATAAGTAAATATTTTAAAAAAAAGAACTATATAGGGAGACCCGATTAAAAACAAAATCTTTTAAAAAATAAGGGGCAATGGGGCTGAAGAGATGGCTCAGAGGTTAAGAGCACTGACTGTTCTTCCAGAGGTTCTGAGTTCAATCCATACTGAGTTCAATCATTACAGATGAGCTCACAACCATCTGTAATAAAATCTGGTGCCCTCTTCTGGCCTGCAGGGACACATGTGAGTAGAATGCTGTATACATAATTAATAAATATCTTTATAAAAAAAGGGGGGGCCGTAGCAGCTGGAATGATGGCTCAGTGACCGAGGGCTTGCTGCTCTTGCAGAAAACCAAAATCCAGCTTCCAGCACCCACGTCAGGAGGCTCACAACCATTTGTAATTCCAGCCCCAGGGTATCTGATGCCCACTTCTTGCCGCCACAGGAACCTATACACACCTGCAAACACACATGCAAAATAACACATTTTTTAAAAAGTAATAAATGGTTGGTTGGTTTTCTGGGATGCTAACAGGATCCCACTTCATATTCCCAGCCGTTTACTCCCCGTGGAGACCGGACCTGGAAGACAGCAGGTGCGTACTCATCGTCAATGGAGTGCAGCTCTTTCACGGAGGGGCAGCCAAGGCCAGTATCCAAGGTGGCCACTTCTAGGCCAAACAGGGAGTGGTTTCCACGAGGAGACGCTCCAACCAGGGCAACTTCTAGCTGGCAGGCGTCTGCGCTGTGCAGGAGGCGAGGGGGCTGGGCAGGTCGGCCAGATCCCGAAAAGGCCTGGACCTAGGGAGGAGGAGGAGGCCATGTGAAGAGAATGGTGCTTGAAGGATACTCCCATCTCACAGATCAGCCTCCTGAGTTCCTTCCCCACAACCTCACCTTGAAGGCCAGGCTGCCATTGGCAAATGTTCCAGTAGGGTCATCTACAGGGTGGCCTTGGAAAGCGGAGCTCAGAGTGGTGCGGTCCAAGGAGCTGTTCCAGGAGAACTCAGCCAAGGAGTAGGGAGGATATGGCTTTCCTGAGGGCTGGGCTGCCCCTTCGGAGACCTTGGTACTGTCAAATTCAAGCAGCTGGGGACAGGGTGGAGTGGAATTGGGCTTGCCTCCCTCCGACATTCTCCTGCAGATCGCTCCCACTCCACCCACCCTGTCCTTAGCCCTCCCCTCTCCCTTTGTGTAGAAGGAACTCAGTCCCTGGGCTCTTCCCTCTGAGCTTTTGGCCCCCTCACCCTGGTGAAGACAAGAGCAGAAGAAAACTGGATGCTGTCCTTGGGGAGCACCATCAAACCCCCATCAGGATCAGGAGACAGCAGGAGACTCCAGTTGACACTCAGGACACTCTGTGTGGTGTTGGTGGCCACCAGCACCACAGCTGGAGGCCCTAGGGTGCCCCATACATAGTGCAGGGTGGAGTTGGTGCCCACTGCCCTGATATGAAGCAGGTTCTGGGGATTTGGTCCACCGGAAATAACCTCCATATATACCTAGAACATGGGATTGTGGGATGGAGAGAACAAGATCAGGGATGGTCACAGGCAAAGAAGCAGTTTGTGGGTGGAGGACAGGACCTGGGCAATGCCAGGGACGGCAAGGGCCTTTGAGGCCTAGGCAAGAGGGATGTGTGGAAATTGAGGGATCCTGGAATCAGGGGCAGATGTAGGGTTGAGAATAGGGTAGATCCAGGATTACCCTGACCTCGGTGAGGCTTAGGCTTGAGAAGGCTTTTTAAATCCCCAAACTTCCTGGTTGCTGGTGGCTTGACATCACCAGAAGGCAGGAAGCCGTCATGCATTCTCTCATCCACAGTCCTTCCCATCACTCAGGGCTCCGCGCTGGCTCTCTGGGGTCACTCCTCTCTTGCATCCACCCTCCACCCCTCCGTTGCCCCAGATTCCAGTCATTGTAGAAAGGTTGTATTTCTGGAAGCATCTATTACGTTAGTTCCAGAACTCTTACCTGGCGAGTCTCTTCTCCCAGCAGGCCAAATGGAGCTGCACACACAAGACTCAAAAGGAGCCATGGGGTTGGGGCACAGGGTACCCAGCCCCAGTAAGGTTCCCAACAGCGGCGCATACAGCCGCAAGGAGTTTAACTCAGTGGAAGAGGCTCAGAGTCACATGACTCCCTTCCTCCGGATCCCTTTAGAGGGCGGGCCACCTAACCAGTTCTTAAAGAGACCGCGTCCATTAACACAGTTGTCAACACAAGTTGAAATAGCGTCAGGAAGGCTGAAGGTAAGATACATTATTCTTTTTTTTAATATTTATTTATTATGTATATAATATTCTGTCTGTGTGTATGCCTGCAGGCTAGAAAAGGGCACCAGACCCCACTACAGATGGTTGCGAGCCACCATGTGGTTGCTGGGAATTGAACTCAGGGCCTTTGGAAGAGCAGGCAATGCTCTCAACCTCTGAGCCATCTCTCCAGCCCAAGATAAATTATTCTTAACAGGTTGGCCTGGAAGACATTCCAGACCAGCTGTGCAAATACTCCTGCTTCTCCTCAGACCCCCTGCCAGTCCCATCCAATATACCGGGTTAGCATGTATGCCCAGATGTAAATTCCATGTGGAACCTGTGCATTACTACCATGGCAGAAAGGTAGAGAGAGGAACCCACACACCTTCAATCCCAGCACTCCCAAGGCAGAGGCAGGCAGGGATCTCTGTGAGTTCAAGGCCAGCCTAGTCAACAGAGCTACAGGACAGCCAAGAACACACAGAGAAACCCTGTCTCAAAAGAAAATAAAACAAGAACCCTGGAGTCACCAAGATGACCCAATGGGTAAAGGTGCCCCAAGTTTGATATGAGTTGGATATCCAGGACCAACATGGTAGAAAGAGAAAAATAATTCCCAGAAGCCATACCCTGACTTACAAATGCGTTCTGTGGCATTCGTGTCTACATGAAATGTATAGTAATAGTAATGATAATTAAAGAACCCTCAGAAAACAGAAACAAGCTGGGAGGGATGGCTTGCTTCTGTAACACCACCTTCTGGAGACTGAGGTAGGAGGAGCACCATGAACTTTAGGACAGCCTGGAGAGCTTTAGTTAAAATCAAAGAACTGCTGGTGCACACCTCTAACCCCAGCACTCAGGAGGCAGAGGCAAGTGGACGTCTGTGAGTTCTGGGCCAGCCTGGTCTACAAGAGCAAGTTCCAGGATAGGCTACAAAGCTACAAAGAAACCATGTCTCGAAAAACAAAACAAAACAAAAAACCCAAAAAAACAAACCCAAACCCAGAAGGGCTAGATAGCACGCATGAAGTCCTGGGTTTTCTCTACAGCACCATAGAAAAACAGAATGTGCTTGGGTGGTGGTAGAGCACGCCTTTAATCCTAGCACTCAGGAGGCAGAAGCAGGTAGAACTCTGAGTTTGAGGCCAGCCTGATCTACAGAGCAAGTTCAAGGACAGCCAGGACTAAGAGACACCCCCCCCCTCAAAAAACCAACCAAACAGGATGTGGTGGTCCAAGCCAGGCAGTAATCCCAGCACTCAGCAGTGGAAACAGGAGGATTAGAAACTCAAATTCTGGGCCTGAGAGAAGGTTCAGCAGGTACTTGACAAACAAGCTTGATGACCTGACCTCAAACCTCAAGAACCTACATGGAGGAAGAGAACCAACTCCTGATAGTTGTCCTCTGGCATGACAAACACATACACAACTATGTAATGAAAACATCGCAGAGGGTTCTTTTGACGATGTATTTATTAGATTCCCAGGTACGAGGGTTTTCTTACTGGAAGAGCTCACACTTTTATTATGAAGTTATGCAATACAACAATTTGACTAAACGCATGCTTTTTGCTTAGTTTTATTTTTGTTTTGAGACAGGGTTTCTTTACACAGCCCTGGCTGTCCTGGAACTTGGGTTCCCTGGAAGAGCAAAAGTGCTCTTAGCCACTGAACCATCTCTCCAGTCCCAACTAAAATCTTTTTATTTAAAAACAAAAAAAATCTTTTTATTTTTAAAAGATTTATTATGTATAGTGTTCTGCTGGCATGTGCACCTCCACACCATTAGAGGGCGCCAGATCTCGTAGATGGTGTGAGCCATCATGTGGGTACTAGGAATTGAATTTAGGACCTCTAGAAGAGCAGCCAATGCTCTTAACCTCTGAGCCATCTCTCCAGCCCCCCAACTAAAATCTTAACTGTTAGACAAATAAATATACAAAGTACAGATTTGAGCCGGGCGATTTAATCCCAGCACTCGGGAGGCAGAGGCAGGTGGATCTCTGTGAGTTTGAGGCCAGCCTGGTCTACAGAGCTAGTCCAGGACAGGCTCCAAAGCCACAGAGAAACCCTGTCTTGAAAAAACCAAAAAACAAACAAAACAAAACAAAACAAAACAAAAAAAAAAAAACAAAAAAA